AATCCAACCCGTAACCATGGGTACCCTACCCGACCGTAACCGGTCAACGAGGGTAATTACCCGCTTTGACGGGTGGGGCGGGTACGGGTAATATCCGGTTTCAAAATAAAGGGTAGGGTACGGGTATGGTAATCGATAATACCCGCTCCGTTATACCCGCCCCGCTAACCAAAGGGTCAATTTCCCTTGAAAAATTTAGATTAGCTTGAAAAATTGAGTTTAGCTACCATTATTGATGATGAAGATGTAGACGATTATTATGTTTGTGTGGATTGTAGAAGCAAGAACAATTATTATGTGTTTGCTATTTTTATTTGTGTGGATTGTTGAAGCTCGAATAGTTACAAGTATTGAGAATTTTTTTTTTATAAAGAAGTATTGAGAATTTTTAATGGACAACAGTATGTATGTGCATATATGTGTATAAGTTCATAGTTTAGGGTTCGTACCCATGGTTACCCGAATACCCGTGGTTACCCGGTGGGTAGGGTATGGTTATATAATTTTCATACCCGGTGGTTATTTGGTCGGGTATTTTAGAAGGCTCTACCCGGCGGGTAGAAGTTGGTATAGGGTAAACCCGCACCCGACCCTACCCATTGCCATCCCTACTGGCTAGCCAGCCAGCCTTGGCCTTAGAATTGTCTCATTCCATTTTCTTTTTGTCTTTGTTGTGTCTTTGGTAGGTTCTTGTTTGTTTGGGAGCCACATAAAACGGATGGATGCAACAAAGAAGATGTAACGGACATGGATAAGATGGATGGAAGGCAGGGGAGGGAAGAAAAAGCTTGGATAAGGATCACATTCTCCATCCCTTCCTTTCTTCTTCAATGGAAAATTCTTACTATTGGTCCGTTAAAGTGAATTCCATCTCGTGTTTCCTTGTTTCAACGTATGTTGTTCATTGACTTTGAATCGGCAGATTAAATTCTCGGACCCCTGAATGTACTCTTCTTTTTTGCCAACTCCTTTTTAGTAACATAAATACAAAACAACACGAATGATTTAAATTATATCTCTTTTTGCTTATAAAAGTAAAGGAGAAACTATGAGTGGCAAGTGTATTTCTATGTGTCATTTCTCTAAACTTAGAGAACATCAAATTAATTGTAAAAAAAAGAAGATAATTCTAAATATTGGAAGAACTTTTGAGATTTCAATCCTATTTACCCTTGAGATTTTCTAGGGATTGTATTCTATATGTTGTTCACATTTTGGACAAAATTCCCACACAAAACCATGCATGATTATTCTTTTAAACAGTTTTAGGTTGTTTATGTTAGGGCTGAAAATTTGCTTGACCTCCCAGAGTCGCTCCTCAAGAGTCAACTTATATAACTGAGTTGTCTGTTTCTCTCTTGACTCTCTCTAAACCTCTAGGGTCAGGGCGAGACGAGTTAGTGAGTCGACTCAAATCAACACACTAATTTTTTTTAATCTACATTTTCGTATCCAATTTTTTTTTTGTTACAAGTACCTAAATTTTACTTTCTTACAAAAAGGTCGTGAATCTTTTGTGCTAAAATTATATTTTTGTACCTTTATATATTTCACCTTGCATTATAGTACCTGAACTCTTAAAACATTACAAACAAGCTCAAGGTATTGTTATAAGTCATTTTAGATCACCAACTGTTGCTATGGGTCACAACGATCGTAACTCGTAACTCGTCACAACGGTTATAACTTGTAACACATGCATTATGGCGGAAAATAGAAAAGTGGAACTTTGGGGTTGATTGATGCTATTAACGATCTTCAGAATTAGATTCAATTTAAAATTACTGTCAAATCAACAATTATGCGAACAACAGACGTTGTTATGAAATAATTCGACTCTCGATTTTTTGCCACGCTGATGTCAAAATCCTGGCTTCACCGGCCTCCTTGGTTTAATCTCCAAAAGCAGTGGTCACTAAGCTTTGGTCTGCCCGCCACCTCCGCGCTCCATCTCTACCTCTCGCAGCCAGCGGAAGAGAATTTCGCCCATATGAGATGCACTGCGGTTCTGCCATGCTTGCAGGTGAAGGTATAGCAATAGCAGCCTTATAGTTTTCTCTTTGTTCCGTTTTTGGCAAAAGTGGTGCTCGATTCCCCTGCCTAAACAGGCACGCACGCAATGATTGAGTGGTTTCTCGCGTGTTTCTGTTTTGTTGTTTCTCTCTGTTCATCACGCCACATAAGTAGATAGAGCACACTCTAATTGCTTTATCTGCAGGCTCTGTTCCATTCTTGCTATATAAATCCTCTTTCTTTTGGCCTGCCTTGCATTACCTTACCCACAAAAGGAGGTGTCTTTTCTCGTCTTTACAAAAGCCGATGGGGGTGAAAAGAAAGAGACACCAGAGTTTGAATTCCACCCCGCTTGGTATCCAATGGGAAGATGAATTCGAGCTTGAGGGTTCTGATTCCAATGCACCTCCAAGTTCAGACTAAATGAGATATATATGTCATCATGATCACCATGTGCATGTTAGTAAATCATCGTCTTTTTTGCTTCCTTGATAGTTGAGGAACCCTATAGCCTCCTATCATGTCATGCCATTAAATAGATTATCACCATCATCATTGTTATTATTATGCGAGTAATGTTTTATCGGGGTAATTTGTTAAGACAATGTAAATAACAAAAAAATAAAATAACGGGTCGTTTGCTTGAGGGTTTTGATGATGGATTTGGTCATGGAAATCTATCCATCATGAACTTTAATAGAAATCCATCGTTTGTCTTAGGAAATCCATCATGAACTTTAATGATGGATTTGGTCATGGAAATCTATCCATCATGAACTTTAATAGAAATCCATCGTTTGTCTTAGTAAATAACAAAAAAATAAAATAACGGGTCGTTTGCTTGAGGGTTTTGATGATGGATTTGGTCATGGAAATTTATCAATCATGAACTTTAATAGAAATCCATCGTTTGTTTTAGGAAATTAGGGAGATGGAATCTGTGGGTCCCGCCTCTTTTGGGGTTCCAAATCCGTGGACCCCACGGACTTGAATGTTCCACCTCTTGAGGTGGGATTTGGGTGACAGATTAAAATCCATGATAGTAAATTCCCTTTCCACCCTTACTTATTACTTTAATTACAAAGTTGTCATACTTTAATTCAATGGTCATGTAACTATAAAATTTTATAATGTCGTATTTTATATATATGAGAATCTATCATTTCGTTTTGTAATATCGTAGTTTATTTAAATATGAATGTATATGTGATTTGTTAGATTCAACTATAAACATCTTATGCTCATCTTGTGCATATTATTTGATTGATTGTCGGATTGCAAAATCGGGGAGTTAGCAAGAAGATGATGAGTTGTAGCAATAAAGCGAGCAATTGGTTGCAATTGATACATAATATTGCATACATTATTATATGAGTTGTTAATTAGTGCCAAATTGTAATACATTTCTATATTTATGGTTTAATTATTAGTCCACATAGTGGTAAAGCGTTTAAAATTTCATTGTATGCGTTGGATTTTTTTAATGAAAATTTTGGATTATAATATAGAAATATAATTAGATAAGGGTAACAAGGTAATTTGTATTTCATATCCACAAATCTATTCAAGCAAAATCCATAATCAAATTCAACAAGCAAACAATAGACTTGTTCAAATCCATAATGCCATCAAATCCTTCATATATTCATGGTTTTCCAAAACCCAAGTTTTACCAAAACCCTCATTTTTCAAATCCATGAAGCAAACGACCCGTAAAATAATATATGGGTTCTATTTTCGTAGGTGTATTTCAATTCTCGTAAAAATAAGAATGATTAAATATAAATGAAGCTATTTATTCTGAAATGATGCATGAACTGAAATGTGTATGAGCCGTACAAAACCCTCCTACTCATATCGTAACTAAATATTGTTCCTTCTGTCCAGTAGCAGACCCAGAATTGTCGAAAAGGTGTGTCGCCGATAAAATAATATAATAAATAATTAAAAATTAAATAGAAATTACTAGTTGAAAATGCTCTTTCACTCAACCAATTCCAAATTCATTCTTGATTATCTTCATAGCTGAAAATGCTCTTTCGCAGCTTGCAATTGCAACAGGTAAAGTCAACACCAGCTTCAAGAGCAAGTAAGCTAAGAGCCGTTTGGAAGTTGAGATTGTTAAATAGACGTATTGTTGTGAATGCATGTATAATATTATACATGTATTATCAAAGTTTGATGCATTATAGAATACAACGTTCGGTATGTATGATTGTGTATGTCACATTAGTTAAAAGCCGAGACAAAACAATCTCAACTCAACAATCTCAACTAAAGTTGAAATATAATAATCACCCATTTTGACTGATAGTTTCTGTCACATCACAGAAACAATTAATCCATTTATTGTTTCCGCCAAAAAAATCAGAAAAACGATACATGTATATAGTCAACAATCTCAACAAAGCAATCGCAACTTCAAAAAAGTTAAGAATATTCTATTCTCATCCTCCCCACTCTAAATCAATGTCCTCGTCATTTCAAAATCGTCTTTTCGTATAAGGAGTCCCCGATGCCTTAGATTTTCTTGTAAATCTATATGTTGAATAACACATTGTTATACATTGACTTGCGTTGCTTTGTGGGTAGCATTGAGTCTCACCTCGTTTTCAAAGACTTAAATTGAGTAGAAAAGGGTTAAAGACACATTTGGTCACTAAGATTACTAAATCGAGACATGTTTAGTCACTAGAAAAAATTAATATCAATTTTAGTCACTCGAATTACTGAAACAGGTCACATTTAGTCACTCTCTGTTAGTCTCCGTCCAACTCCGTTAATAAAGTCCGTTATGTGCTGACGTGGCTAACGAGAGTGCCTAGTCAGCGTCGTTTTGGGCCGGAAATGGTCAAATCCGACCCGCCACGTCACTAAACCCGCCATATCATACACCCAACCCACTAAACCTATCCACTAACCCAACCCTAGCCCACTTTAACAAAACAAAATTGGAAAACCCTAGCTCCAACTCGTTCTACTCTGCTTCACCGCCGCTTCCCCAATGAAACTACATCAGCAACAGTTGCAAGATCACCACGATGATGGGGACTCCCCAAATTCCCCTGCTTACACCAGCAAGAAGAAGAAGCGGGTATGAGACTGCAACAGCAAGCACCCATTGTACAGGGGATTCAGATGCGGAGTTGGGGGAAATGGGTATCCGAAATCAGGGAGCCACGCAAGAAATCGAGAATATGGTTGGGTACTTTCCAAACCCCTAAAATCGAGAATAGAGCAGTCTCAGTTCCAAACATTTGCAGAGACAAAATCGAGAATGCTCTCAAAAACCCCAATCACCTCCCTTCTCTATAGCTTGCTCTTGGTCACGCTCAAAGTAATCTTCCCCTTCGATTCCACCGCGTTCTTGACATTCTCCTTCGCCAGCTCTTCCTCATCCCCTCTCCCACCAGGAGCAGCGCCACCGCGTTGTCATAACCCTGGGACCCGCCTCTGCCCTCTGGGTCCAAGAACGACGACCCTCTGTAGATGGGAACCAAAAACTCGCCGCTGAAGCTCTCTGGTTTTCCAGAAGCAATGAGCTGCTTCACCGTGAAGAGGAAAGGGACCCTCTTGCCTCCGGGGAGCTGGACGGTGACGGCGGCGTAGTCGATGCCATCTTTCTCCTCAAATTTCATGATGCCGGCGGGGGAGAACTCGAAGGGGCCTTCTAATCGTGATTTGCAACTCCTGCTAATGTTGTTTCATTGGGGAAGACGACGGTGAAGAGGAGGAGAACAAGTTGGAGATTTTCCAATTTTGTTTTGTTAAGTGGGCTAGAGTTGGGTTGGTGGGTAGGGTTAATGGGTTGGGTGTATGACATGGCTGGTTTAGTGACGTGGCAGGTCGGGTTTGACCATTTCCGGCCCAAAACAGCGCTGAGTAGGCGCTCCCGTTAGCCACGTCAGCGCATAACGGACTTTATTAACGGAGTTGGACGGAAACTAACGGAGAGTGACTAAATGTGACCTGTTTCAGTAATTCAAGTGACTAAAATTGATATTAATTTTTTCTAGTGACTAAACATGTCCGGATTTAGTAATCTCAGTGACCAAATTTGTCTTTAACCCGAGTAGAAAATGTGGACACACCATTACTTTGTAGGTCACCCCTCCCTCCCTCTTAAGCAATCTATAGTATTTGTCAAGCACACCCTGATGAAAGCATTTAATAGAACCAAAATGCATTTTCCCCTAAGCTAGATTCTGACGAAGAACAACTTTGACTTTGCCCTACAACCTCCCATCTTTCTGATATCACCTCACCAAACAAACAAACAAACAAACAAACCAACAGCCCAGAGTGTTTCCAGGCTTCTTGTAAAGATACGGTTTTTGGTCTCTAGTTTTCTCCCAGCCTACATTTTCTGACAAAAGATAGTTTTGTGGATTACTAATTAGTGCACCACTTGTAGTAGAACAATAATTCAGCATGAAGCCAAACGCACCAGCAGAATGTTCTGTGGATCGAGTAAGTTCATAAGCAACCGTCCAAGTTATGGTGCAGGTGAGAACAAATAATTATTTTCATTTGGGCCATGGGCCCATCAGATTCTCATTTGGATCGACATTACCTAGTAGTCCAAGTTCAGAGTTCAAATGTGAATTATATAAGAATAGAAATTTGGAACAAATTAGGGGGAAGTGATGAGGTTGGTACTTTGGTAATGGTAGGTAGGGAGACTGAAGCTTCTAAGCATTATCAAAATCTTTTACTAATTTTCATATATTCCTCAAGGTGGATCATGGCTTGGAAAGCTTTCTTTCGGGATTTCATTTTGTCAGTTTTCATTTCTTAGTTGAACATAGAGTTTCAAAAGTTCGACAAATTCTGTCATTCTTCATGTAAAATTCTTTTTTTTTTAATGGGAAATTATACTTTATTGGATTAGTTGATTGTGAATGCATGTATAGGTTTCCAATTTAAAAGTACGACAAATACTAATTATTAGTCAATCTTTTCCACATTCTTTTTATTAGCCGAATGAATTACTAATAATTAGTAAAATCTTTCATAATGTATAAGAATATTAGTCATTTTCTGTTACCGTTAGGAATGGCAATGGGACAGGTCCGGGGCGGGTATCTCGATACCCATACCCGCCTCATGGCAGGTCGGGTCCAGGTCGGGTAATTTATCACAGGGCGCGGGTCGGGGCAGGTCGACCCATTGGGTATGTAATTTATGTGAAAACATTAGAAATATTCATTCTTTTCATTGAAAAACCAAGAAAGAAACCATAATATGATAAAATGTTGCTAAATTACTGAAGAAATTGAGGTTTTCACTTATTTACAACTTTATTATAGCTAAAATATAATGTAATAAGAGGAAAATCTTAAGTAATTTGACTAAGATTATATGTAATTTAGGCAAGAACGGGTCCAGAATGGGTCGGGTCAGGGCAGGTCGGGTCGATGAGAGGTACCCATGCCCGCCCCGCCCCAAAACAGGTCAAACAGGTCGGGTAAATCGGGTCAGGTCGAAATTGCCATCCCTAGTTACCGTTCATAATTCTGTAACTATTTTCTTAGTTAAAATACCAAAGTGTTGAAATATTGACTTTCATGTGTCTCTTTCGAGTCAGTGTCATGTTGCCAATTACAAACAAAACTGCTAAGCGAAAGTTAACATTTAGCTAAATATTAGTAATTCAATAGGTTTTGCTATTGAAAAAGAATGTGGAAAAGCTATTGATTTCATAGCTATTAATTAGCTTTAGTTGCGATTTTATTAATTATGGCAATGATTTTGTGGCTATATATATATATATCCCTAACCTCTAATGGATAAACCCCAGTCCCTAATTCACTAATCCAAAGCATAATATTCATTTAATCTTGAAATGAAAATCAACGGTCTTGATTTGTCAAAATGATTGTTGATTTACTTTTTAAGATTAAACGAATCTCATGAGTTGGGTTAGAAAATTAGGGGCTGGGGTTTATCCATTAGAGGTTAGGGTATAGTATCATGCCAAAAACTCCGGTTAATTCATTGTCTAAATAGAAAAACTCAACGGGCGTACGGTAGACTAAGGTACGCCCGGGCGTACGCTAGCCTTTGCCATATATATATATATATATATATATATATATATATATATATATATATATATATATATATATATATATATATATATGGTGGCGTATTCAGTGCACCCACTTTTTTGGGTGCACTCAGTGCACCCGCCTCATAATTGTCATTCTGAGCATGTGATTCATGTCAAAACGGTATCAATTGTTGCTTATGATATTATGAACAAGAAGCACATGAATTTGAAAAAAATTCATTCAAAATTTACTTTAATTTGAAGGATTTAGGATTTAGGGATTTAGGGTTAGGGATTAGGTTTAAAATTTGGGATTTTGGATTGGGATTCAAAATTGAAGGTTAAGGGGTTAGGGTAATAGATTGATTTGTTATGATTCTATGTCATATCATCATATTAGATTGAGAGTACTAATTAAAGTTCAAAATTTGATGTAATATGGACACTTTTAGAGTGGGTGCATTGAGTGCACCCAAAAAAGTGAGTGCGCCGAAGTAGCCACCATATATATATATATATATATATGGGTCAGACTGGTGTACGTCAGGCGTATACTATACGTCAGGTACTACTAGTGAGATAAACCCCAGGCACCGATTTTCTAAACCCCAACCCGAAGTATGATTTAATGAAAAACAAAAATTGACCGTTGAGATCGGTCGGAGCTCATCTAACTACATCTAACGGCTAGATCACCTGACGTATACTATACGCCTGGCGTACATCAGTCATCACCATATATATATATATTTTGCATTGAGGGAGGCAAGCTGCCAAAGCAAGAGAATTACAGAGGGAGTAGGATTAAGGAAACATGGGGGAAGGAGTATCGATAATGCTCCTGGGGAAAGTCACTCCACTGCTATCTTCCTCGAGTAAGGTGATCAAACCATGGGGAGGCGCCTCTAGTTCATACAAACCGTAGGGATAGACGAGACTGTGTTTCGAGAGCCAGTCCGCGACTCTATTCCCCTCCCGGTAGGTATGAACTAGCTTCACCACCCAGTTCTGAGAGATCAGTCGTCTAATTTCCGATAGTAGAGTCGCATAAGGGTGAAGGGGGTCCGACCTGTTGTTGTTGAGTTGGATCACGGTCTGTGAATCAGATTCCAACATGATCACCCTGAACCCAAGCTTCCATGCCAACTTGAGCCCGTGATAGATCGCCCAAACTTCTGCCATTGTGGCTGGACACGATCTGAGATGAGAGACAAAGCCTCCAAGCCAGGTCTTGTTCTCATCCCGAAGCGCCCCGCCGGCTCCTGCAAGTCCCTGAGCTTCATTAAAAGCACCATCAACATTGATTTTAGTCCAACCTGGCGGAGGAGGGAGCCATCCAATCTCTACACGCGTGCGGGTGGATGGGCTCTGGCGCTTGCCTATGATGTCCACCGAGGCCTTCCAGGCATTATACCACATCTCCACCTTCACTCTGATCGCCTGGACGAGGGATGCTGGAGAGAGAGTCTTCTGGCTTCCACCAAACGCGTCGTCGTTTCTGTTCTTCCACAGGTTCCAGAGGGCAATGCTGAAGAACGCCTTCCAGTGCACGCCGGTCGGGGAGGTATCTTCCTTCTCCAGATTCTTCCTTAGCCACTGGCCAATGGGTAGGCAAAAAAACTCCTGTTGATGACCTGCCGGGACAGTGCGTGCCGATAAAAAGGCTGCTGGCGGGCATTCCCGAAGGATATGCGAGACTGTCTCAGGCTGCGAGGAGCATCTGTAGCAGCAAGGGTCTTCAGTAATGTGCCTTGCAGCCCTTTGGACATTGCAGCTGATCTTCTCATGGGCAACTAACCAGATGAAGCAGCGAACTCATTCCGGAACGGGCCGCTGCCAAATGTTCTTCCACCATCGTTGATCTGGGTTGTTCGGGGTGTGCTGGAGCATAGCAAAAGCACTCTTAGTAGAGAACTTTCCATCAGAGGTGGGCCGCCAATACAGGGTATCTTCCTTAGTCGCCAGTGGGTCAACCGCTACAGCTGTGATTTGATGCTGAATATCAGGGGGGGGGGGGGACTGCTGAACTATTCCACCTTCCATCTTCCTTCATCATCTACGAACTCAGCAACCTTGGCATTTCGATCTTCCTCCGGAATTAGTCCGATAGCTAAATCCTACAGTGGCACCTGGGAAATCCAAACATCAGACCAGAAATAAGTTGTATTCCCTTTATGTATATTCCAGGCACAACCCTGCTTAATTAGATCAGCTGCTTTGGTAAAGCTTTTTCAGGTGAAGGAACTTCCCTGACAGGGTCTGAGGAGATTTAGGTTGTCCCGGCCTTTGCCATACTTGCTTCGAGCAAGTTGAACCCAGAGGGCTTCCTTCTCTTGAAGTATCCGCCACCCTCCTTTAGCCAGCATCGCCAGGTTCACTTCCCTTGTTGGTCTCAGGCCCAAACCGCCATGGCTCTTCGGAAGGATGAGTTGTGGCCAGCCTACAAGGTGCAAACGTCTCTTCTCATCTGTATCTCCCCAAATGAAGCTCCTGTTCGCCCGGTCTAGGGATTTGCAGATGTTCATAGGCAGGAGCTCAGTTTGCATAGGATAAACAGGAATAGAAGCAGAAATAGATTTAACAATA